CGGCTCCCGGCCCTCGCGCACCTGAGTTCCGCTGGTGGCGCTGGGCTCTCAGGTGAGGAAGCCGGCCTGGAAGGCTTCTCCCCGCGGGGACTAGGGGGCGCACTGAATCACCTATTATATCCCGAAAGCCGTTCACCAGTTCTGTTTTAACTCCTTTTTCACCTCTGGGTACCTTAGGACGTCTAGGAGACAAGACGGTACAACTAGCAGGACACATGGAAAAGATAAAGCTGCCCTCCGATCGCCTTTCAGGCACGCCAACACACACTCATCCGTTTGATCAAAGATTTCAAAATGTAAAGGGATGCTCCTCTCTTTAAAAAAGAAAAGGTGAACAGATGGGAGAATTTTTTAAATGCTTGAAGAAGGCCTTTCTACACTGTGGACAAAAAGGGGCCACATGCTAACCTGACTAACGCAGGGAAGGACTGCCTGGCAAACTAAACTCAGACACCTAAAAGGATGTCTGAAATTAAAACTTTTTCCATTAAAAAGCAGTTTATAGCCCTAGCTTGGCTCAGTGGCTGGAGCGTCGGCCTGCGGACTGAAGGGTCCCGGGTTCGATTCTGGCCAGGGGCACATGCCTGGGTTGCGGGGCTCGGTCCTCAGTGGGGGGTGTGCGGGAGGTGGCCAATCGGTGATTCTCTCTCATCATTGATGTTTCTATCTCTGTCTCCTTCTCCCTTCCTCTCTGAAATCAATAAAGAAATATATTTTTTTTAAAAAATAAAAAGCAGTTTATAGTAGATAGTCGTGTCCTGGGCCAGTATCTTCCCTGACAAAGACCAACTTTGATATTAACCGAGCCTATTGTCTTTTTGCATCTACGATAATATACCTTCTGAATGTCAGGGTAACATAACTTCCCTTTTTCCAGGTCCCTCAAGGCACAACCAATGCACCAGGGCAGAGACCACAAATTCCCTCATTGTTATTGTGTGATTGTTATCTTTTGAATTGTTGACTGTTAGCTATCCAGTACCCACCACTTTGCTTTCTCCCACCTCCTTAATCTATAACCAATGGATTTCTGTAATCCACTTAAGTCTCCTCCTTTGATGGTAAGTTATAAAACTAGGTGAAAAACCCATCATTCTCTAGAGCAGTATCTCAATATGTTGAGATTCTGCTTCCTGGCAATTGTTGACAATTTGGTTCAAATAAACTCACAAAAATTCTTTACAGGTTTGAATGTTCCTTATCTTAACAAACTATAACGGAACACTTAGAAGCCATACAAGAGAAGATTAATAAATCTGACCACGTAAAAACTAAACATTTCTGTGTAGCCTGAAGTCAAAAACACAAATGACAAACTAGGAAAATATTTGCAATATATATAATTGAAGAAGGGCTGTCATTTGTCAATGAACAAAACAAAACAAAACAAAAAGACAATGAGCAGTTCACAGAAGAATTAAAAAAGAATACATAAATAAACTGCTTAATTTCAAATACAATTTATGGTATATTGTACTACTTTTCACCCAGCAGATTAGCAGAAATTTTAAAGTGTGAGGGGCTGGGGGAGAGAAGGAGGTCCTAATATATGGTGATAGGAGAAGATTTGACTTTGGGTAGTGAGCACATGGTGCAATACACAGATCTGGTAACATAGAAACCCACACCTGAAACCTATATGTTCATGGTGACCAATGTCACCCCAATTTAATTTAAAAATAAAGTTTGATAATACCCTGTGTTGGGGTGTGCAAGGAAGTGATCATTTCCATAAATAGTTGAGAGTAATAAGATTAATGCACATGCTTTGGAGAGAAATTTGAATATATCTGTCAGTGTTTTCAATGCACATGCCCTTTGACTATCAAAGAAACACCGGGACATCATCAAATAGATACACTCACATAAGTGCAAAAATATGAGTCCACATATTTCTTGCAGCATGGCTTGTAATGATGACAAACTAGACACAATCTGAATGTTGGTCAATAGAGGAGTGATTAAATAAGTTATGGTACATGTGGTGGTAGGCAGAATAATGACTCCCGAAAAATGACCACATCCTAATCTCTGAAACCTGAAATCAAGTTACCTTATGTAGCAAAAGGAACTTTGCAGATGTGATTAAATTAAAGATCTTGAAATGGGAAGATTATTTTAGATTATGCAAGTGTGCCCAATGTAACTACATGTACAAGAGTCTTTATAAGGGAGACAGGAGACCAGAAGAAAAGGCAATTATGATACCTAAAGCGGAGATTGGAGTGATTTGGCACCACAAGCCAAGGAATTCATACAAGCTCTAGAAGCTAGAAAAGGCCACCAATGGATCTTCTGATCTTTCAGAAGAAACACAGCCCTGCCTACCCATTTCAAATGTCTGTAATATAATAACTGTGTTGCTTTAAGTCACTATATTTGTGATAATTTGTTACCGCAGCAATAGCAAACTAACACCTGTATCAGAAGACTATACAACTATTAAAAAGAATGAATTAGAATATGTGCACATACAGAAAGACAATCCAATATTTGTTTTTGTCCCAAAGGAGCTGACAACACAACTGAAGAGAGAAAGCATGCACATGGGGAAGGGCAGAATGTGATTACTGCCAAGAAAGTAATGGGGACAGTTAGGGTGATCTTAGGAATCTTATTACTGGCCTCTTGAACTTTACCATCTATGAGCATAATCTGAGGACATTAGACTCTGCAAGTTGGTCTATTAACTACCAACAGCAATAATAATATCAACATAGCATTTGTAAAGAATAAAAAATATAGCATTTGTAGTTTAACAATTGCTATTTATTTAGCAGTAACCAGGGGTCAGGATATTTACCTATTTTATTGCATTTACACTTGGACCAACTCTGTAACAGAGAGGTTTATCCTTATTTTATAGATGAAGAAACTGAGGCTCAGTCAATATAAGTGATCAAACTATGTTTATCTGACTTCCAAATCCATACTCTTATCTGTTGTTTTTCAATAATTTAATAATTTTATTGAGAGAGAATCATTGATAGGTTGCCTCCTGCACGCCCCACAGCAGGGATCAAGCCCACAACCTGGGCATGTGCCCCTGACCAGAATTGAACCCAGGTCCCTTCAGTTGCAGGCTTATGCTCTATCCACTGAGTCAAACCAGCTAGGGCAGTAGTTCTCAACCTTCCTAATGCCACGACCCTTTAATACAGTTCCTCATGTTGTGGTGACCCCCAATGTCATTGTTACAAATTGAACATAATTAAAGCATAGTGATTAATCACAAAAACAATATGTAATTATACATGTGTTTTCCGATGGTCTTAGGCGACCCCTGTGAAAGGGTCGTTAGACCCCCAAAGGGCTCGCGACCCACAGGTTGAGAACCGCTGAGCTAGGGCTTAACTGTTGTTGTTTTTTTATATTGTAGTCACTTGCTTTGGTCTTAGAAACAACCCTGAGAATCATGCTCCAATAGTGTGGCCTACAGGAGCCTTCATAATCTAGCTTCTACCTCCCCCTCTGACTTCCTATCCATCCCTCTTGCTCACTCTGGTATTTCTCAAACACTCCAATTTTGTTCCAGGTTATTAGTCTTTTAATTTGCTCTTCTGCCTGGAATGCCCCCAGATAGTTGTCTTCTTTCTTTACATCATTCAGGTCTCTGCACAAATGTCACCTCCTCAGAGACCTTCTCTGGCTGTCCTATGTAAAAGGATATCCCACACACACCTCTACTGCTATCCCATCAGTCTATATCCTATCTGCATCACACTTACCACACCGGACAGTATTTATTGTCTGTCTCCCCACTAGCATGTCAGCTTATTCAATGACATATCCTCTATCCTAGCACACGGCCTACGGTGCTCAAGAACTCTTTGCTGAATTAAAGATTTTGCAACCCCTCGGCATCATTTTCTTGCATGTTTCGCCTTACACCATATTAAAGATATTAAAGCACACCTGCATTCCATGTTAACTTTATAGAAAAATAACGGTCAACATTTATGGAGTATTTGCTGTGAATGAGGACTCTTTCAAGTGCTTTACATATACCAGTGATGGCGAACCTTTTGAGCTCAGCGTGTCAGCATTTTGAAAAAACGCTAACTTAACTCTGGTGCCGTGTCACATATAGAATTTTTTTGATATTTGCAACCATAGTAAAACAAAGACTTATATTTTTGATATTTATTTTATATATTTAAATGCCATTTAACAAAGAAAAATCAACCAAAAAAATGAGTTCGCGTGTCACCTCTGACACGCGTGTCTTAGGGTTAACATCAATGATGAGAGAATCATTGATTGGCTGCCTCCTGCATCACTCATTTAATTCTCATAGTCCCATGAGGTTGATGTTATTATTATCCCACTTTACAGATGAGTAAGCCAAGGCCAGTTATTTTTGTCCATGGTAAAATAGCTAATAAATGGCAAAGATGCATTCAAACCCAAATACTCTGGCTCTAGAACTCTTTATTTTTTATTGATTTCAGAGGGGAAGGGAGAGGGAATGATGAGAGAATCATTGATCGGCTGCCTCCTGCATGCCCCACACTGGGGATTGAGCCCACAACCTGGGCACGTGCCCTGACTGGGAATCGAACCGTGACCTCTCAGTTCATAGGTCGATGCTCAACCACTGAGCCACACTGGCCAGACTCTAGAACTCATAATACCACAAAATTGAGTTGAGGATGACTTGACCTAAAGTTATGTTTTGTAGCCATTTAATCAAACAGTTAATTTCAAATGTTTTTTCACTTATTTAGATATTTAATTTCTTAGAATATTTTAGTTTTGAACTTCTTTTGTTAAATTCATTCCTACGTTTTATTCTTTTTGAAGCTATTATAAATGGAATTGTTTTCTTAATTTCATTTTCAGATTGTGTACTGCTAGTGTATAAAAGTACAATTGAATTTTGTATTTTGATCTTGTATTGAGAACTTTATTGAACTCTTAGTAGCTCTAGATTTATTTCTTTTTACGGATTCCTTAGGATTTCCTAAGTACAAGTGTGTTTGTTTGTTAAGGCTGTCATACAAAGTACTATAGACTGAGCACTTTAAGCAACAAAAAAAATGTATTGTCTCACAATTCTAGAGGCTAGAAGTCCAAAATCAAGGTGTCAGCAGGGTTTATTCCTGGATAAGATAGTGGTCTTCCTTTTATGCATTATCTGTGTTCAAATTTCCTTTTTGTTTGTTTGTTAATCCTCATCTGAGGATACTTTTCCATTGATTTTCGGAGAGTGGAAGGGAGGGGGAGAGACAGAGAGAAACATCAATGTGAGAGACACAGCTATTGGAGGCTACAACAGAGGTAGGTGCCCTTGACTGGAATGGACCCTTCAGTCTGAGGGCCAGTGCTCTATCCACTGAGCAACCGGCTAGGGCAAATGTCCTCTTTTTATTTATTTATTTATTTAAATATATTTTTAATTGATTTCAAAGAGGAAGGGAGAGGGAGAGGGAGAGAGAAATAGAAACATCAATGATGAGAGAGAATCATTGATTGGCTGCCTCCTGCATGCCCCCTACTAGGGATCAAGC